CTGCAAAGAGTTAAATTCCTTCATACCAGGCTGATGCCTTGGCTCATGGGTTAGGTCACAATCCAGGCATTTTAATTGCAAGTTGGTATGGTGTGTGCATGTGTGTGCGTGCCACTTCCACCCCCCCCATCTGCAGCCCTAAGATTTCTGCTTATCAGTCGTGCAGTGATGATGGTGACTGAATCCTGCCCCTCCGGAGCCAGGGGGAGGAGGCCGGGCAGTGGGTCTTGGCAGCCCAGGCTTGTAGCCCCTCCTTCCCCCCAGCCTCTTCCTGCCTGCCCCGGCTTCCCCGGCTCTTGTACCAGTTTGGATGGTGGGATCTTTCTTTCCTCCCTGGCTGAGGGGCAGAGGTGCTGGTGGGACGGAGTTAGGGGCTTGCATTACAGATGTGAGGTATGTGTGTGTGTGTGTGTGTGTGTGTGTGGGGTAGGGGCTGGGGGCTTGCATTACAGATGTGAGTTGGAGGCTTACAGATGTGAAATGTGTTTTGTTGGGGGTTGGAGGCATGCGTTACAGATGTGAGCTGGAGGGCTGGGGGTTTACAGGTGTGGGGGGGCTTGCAGTGCAGATGTGATGTGTGTTGGAGGGGAAGGGTCAGGCTCTGTGCACAAAGGCATCCAGGACAGGAACAGCGAACCCCATGGGTGGGGGTGGGATTTGGAAGTGGCTGCTCGGTGTTGGTGCCTGGGGGTGACTTGGTAGGCGGGGACGGTGTGCGAGGTGCACAGGGAGAGCTGGGAGGCTCCCCCATGCTGGGCCCTGCGTCTTCCCCCCCCCGCCCCTTGTGCACATAACGCTGGATCCGGCATGTCGTTTCTCAGCAGCTGTCCTCCGCCCTGTCTCCTTGCAGCTTCCCTTAGTTAACTTCCTTCCCTCCCTGCCCCATTTCATTTCTTCTTCTTTTTTTTTTTAGCGTCTTCCTTTCTGAATTCTCAGTGCTCGGGGAACGTCGCTCTGTCTCGCAGGAGTTTTATATAGAAACCCCCGATCCCCGAGGGGGTTGTCGCTCTGGGTTGGATGATGAGAGAGGCCTGCTCCGGCACAGGCCAAACGAACAGCGAGTTGAATGAGGGGCAGAGGCGTTGCACGCTCTGCTTTTGGTGGTGAAGGATGGGAGCGTGCACCTATATCCCAAGTCGTGGGTGCAGGACGCAGCCGGGGGCTGGCGCTGACCTCGTGGAGGGAAGCAACCGCAGTGAAGCGAGTGGCATCGGGCAGCATGGATATGCTGAGGTCCGAGTTGTAGATGCATGTGAATGTGCCCAGGCATTTATCATGGGAGCGGTGGTGTTTGGCTCTGGCGTGGCGTGTTACACGGAGGCATTTACTTTATGCTCTGACTTGCTGGCAAGGCAGATCAGAAAAAGGAGCTTGCTGCTGCGAGGCTCCAACCCAGAAGTCGACTGCGGTTTAGGGGTCCCAAGGCCGGGCGGTTCCTGTCCCACAGCAAGTCGCTTTCCTCCAGGTCTCGGCCGTGTAGCAGGACAGTCGATCCACCCCGCGAGCAGGCCTTAAACCAGACGTGGCAACATGTCGACAGAAAGCAAATTCCCCTTATGTAATAAGCAGCTGGGCAGCGTATTCCCCAGGAAATCTGCCGCAAAGGAGGCTGGTAATCCATGGGTCTTGCTAGAGAAGTGCTGTCCGGCTCCCTTTTTCTCTCCCCTCGGTAAAAGCGTACTATTATGTTATTGCCGGAGCGATGGCACTCTGCCCATAATAACACAGTGAGTAATTTGAGTCACTTTTAGGAAATGGCAATAAAGTACTAGGTTGGAAAATAATAACAACGTGGGCATATTAGCACGGCATTGACCTGGAGCGCGCGTGTGTGTGAGACGATGATTGGGATCCGTGTCTCCTCCTTCCCTCAACAAATCTGCCTGCTGGGCTTGCTTCGATGACCCCCTACCCCAGCAAAGACCTGGCTCCTGCTGTGGGGTCTGCATATGGGGCTTGGGAAGCTGCGGGGTAGAAGGGTCTCTGCGTCTGTCCCATTGTTATCCACTTCCTAGCAGACAAGGATGGGGGGGGGCACGGTGCGGCGGAGGAAAAGGCAGCTTTGTGCATGATCCTGTGGGCTGGGAGATGTCTGGACGGAGAGGAATAACCTTTAGTGTTGTTTTGGTGACCTGGGATGGGAGAAGGCTTGCATTGTGTCCTGACTCCAGAGGGGATGTGTGTGAGCCTCCCCCCTGGATGGGATAGCAAGGTCAGTTTGGATCTGTAGTGTTTTTCCCTTTGCAGCATCTCCAGACAGCACAGAGTCCCTCAAAGCGCCTGGGATCCTGGAAGTGAAATGGAGGGGTTGAGTGTCGCTGGCCAAGTGGACTTGGAGCCGAAGAGTAAGCAGAGGGTGAACCCCGAACAAGGGAAAAAAAATTTGCTTTACCACCAAGTGTTTGGAATAGCATAGCCCAGCTTTGTAGGGGTGGCTCTTTCTTCCTTAATGTCCTTTCTGGACCTGAAATAAGGTTTTCCTTCAGGCACACGATCCGGCTGCTTGTACCGTCTTACGGGAGTTCAGCAAGCCATTTGGAGTTGGCGTTGAGCTGTGCCGACTGCAGTGGCACGGGCTTTTTTGTTGATGGACTCCAAGAAAACCCAAACCGTACAGACATACATAAGCTTGTGGTTCCATTAAAGCTTAGTGCTGCAGCTTATCTTTGTTCTCGTGACGAGAAATTATTGCATATTTGAATATTGTAAAGCATGTGCTGGACTCATAAAAGTTAAACAGCCTTCGTATTTCCATTTCCCTGAATATGGGCAAGGCAAGTAATGGGAGTTCATAAAAATAACATGATGCTGCCTTTTGAAATGTCTCGTGCATTGGCCGGGGAGGGGGGAGCAAGGGATGAAGTGGTGGGAGGGGGGAAGTTGCTAGTGAGTAGGTTAAATGTTGGTTATTTTTAAGGTACAGAATCAATGGCCGGGAGATCTGCTTCAGGGAAATAAGAATAACCTTTTTGCATATGAACTGAATGTGTCAAAATATCAGCCGTACTTTGAACACCCCACATGAAATGCCTTCTGAATGCGCCGCAGACGTGATCTGCCTTACCACGTCGCAGGATAAAGCTAATCGCTCTCCCGAGCTGGTGCCTTTCGCTTTTTCGGGGCGGGCACATCAGCCACTCTGCCCTATACCTGTGCAGAGACTCTCTTTATTTTTTTTTCCAAATACAGTTGTGCCAGAAATCAATGCGATACCTCCCTACCTTTGTTATCTGTGTCCCGAGTGAGTCGCATCTCCTGATCCTCCAGAGGCTGCCTGCAGAAAGCAAAATGGCCTGCATTACTAGTTCTTCTGATTTTGTGAGTGAAGCTAAGTTGGCGTCGGGGCTTGAAAAACGACCCTGACCAGCACAAGCTTCTAGGGTTGCTTCTGCATCCAGCCCCACCTCTAATGGGGCTCCTATTGACTGTCTAGCGTGGGATCAGACCTGCCATCTTCCTTTGGTACTTATGGCTGAAATGCTGTGTGTGGTAGGAGGAAAGGTGGGGGGATGCATGTGTGTTAAGGGAATAATATTTGTTTCTTCGCTCCCACACCTATAGGGTTTTCTTTTGCCTCCCAGAAGTTCGGTCTAGGTGGCGAGGCTTTTTCTCCTACCTCAGTGTATCTGGTGATGAATGGGCTGTGATGGCGTAGCCTCTGGGAGGTGCGATGCTCGCATGTAGTGATGGCAGTGTGGAAAGGCAAAGTGCTCCAAGGACTTTGCAAATTCACTGACCTCAAAGTTGATGGGAGCGTGCTCAGGCCTTGGGGAAAGCCTGGCCCTGTCCCTGTTCAGAGTCAATGGTGCTACTTGTGGGACTCTGACCCACCCTTGGGTCAATACTTACATAGCGGGAATGATCAGCAAGGTAGTAAGAGTGGTGGGGACTGTGCCCCCAACCCATGGAAAGTCTCGCCCGGCTCCCAGTGCCTCCTGTTGCATTGACCAAATGGCAAGCACTTTGCCAAATCAAGGCTTTGGAGCTTGCCAGCGATGCCACTGCAGTGAATAGGACTTCTGGACTACAAGCAGAGTGCATGCTTAACCTTGTTGGACTGGAGCAGGACTGTTCGTATCTACCTCCAAGGAGGCTTGGTAGGTGGGTTAGGCTGTAGCTATGCAGCATGTGTGAATGCAAGCAGTCTTGTGCTGCTATGATGCATTGTGCTGTATGGTGCATTTGCTCTGTCTGGTGTGCAGCGTGATGCCCAGACGCCAGGGGAGATGGAAAGAAGCGGCCAGCAGATGTTCTGTTAGCAGTAGCAGGTGGGGTCCGCAGCAACTTCCTACCCTTGAGCTAGGGGTGAAGGAAGCACCCATGTTTGCAGCACGGGTGTTTGTCAGGAGCTTGCTGGGCAAATGCATGTGCGACGGTCCTCTGAGATGAATGCGCCGTGTCATTGATTTGGGTCAATAATGCCGTCCATTTTTTTTATTAGGTGTCTCTTCCAGTTCCATGCAGCGATCTGTCCCTTTCCGATGGAGTGAGGACTATTAATAACCGATCTGATTTAAAGTCTCTCTTTCAAAGTTGCTGAATTTGCTGGACAGTGGCAATAAAAATAAGTTACTCAATGTTTATGTGCATTCATAAAATTCTTTAAACTGTTGGGTGCGGGGGCTGGAAGCAGGACCAGGCTATTTTTTTTTTTTTTCCCCTAGCATGAGGGGGAATTTGACTTGCATAGCTTCATAGAAAGCTACGGTTGAGGCTTGGTTTAGGATTTCAGCAGGAAGGGAGGGCGGTATTAGGAAAAGACCTATTAGATCAGTCCCATTCCACTCCAGAGGTAGGCGCTGCCTCCGTATTAAAGGAAGTAATTGCTACTGAATTAATGCAGTGGTTGATCTTTGCAAACGAGTGAGTTGGTGCTTTTAAAAGCCAGGCCAAGGTGAAACCAAAAGGCTGCATGGGGCAAGGGGCTGTGACAGGTTTCTGGCTGGGACGGGAGCTCCTGAAGCCCATGTGTAGCTTGGTGGAAACTGAGCAGGCCAGCGAGGGTCTGATTCTTTGCCGGAGCTGAATTCCTGGGAAACGGCATGCTGAGTCTTTCCCCGCTGTAACAATTTTGTGGTCTGGAGCTGGGTTAGGAAATGTAATATATTTTTAGCCACTGGGTAGCAAATCTTGGCATTAACTGACTCCTCCTGATGCTAATCAGCACTAGGTTTGGACAAACCTTGGAGGTATTGAAACAGAAACCGTGGCTGGGTTTTAAACTTCCTGGGTATTAAAGGACTTAATGCCGAGTTGTCTTTGTGGCGAAGATGATGAGGATCGGCAGCAAGTTTAGAAGCGGCTAACAATTATCCTTCGTACCCGGAAGAGAGAGTCATGTGTTAAAGACACGTCTGTTTGTCGGGCTTGGATATATCGCCATTAGAAATCCAGTGAGATGCTTGGGTAAAGAAGGACTTGACCTCATTTCCCGGAGGGATCAAAGCAGCGTTCCCTCTCCCAGAGCCCGAGGGTCGCAGCGTGGTCCCTAGGCAGGGGGTTGGATTCTGTTCCTGCCGAGCTCTGGGAGTTGGTCCAAATTGCTCCCTATGCCTGACAAAGGGTGTTTGTGCCCAAAAGCTTGCAAATAACTTTTTTTTTCCAACTATTTAGTTGGTCTAATAAAAGATAACACATTTACTCAAAGAACCTGACCTGCCTATGTCCTTCGACCAACACGACAACAGCCAACAATCCTGGTACAACTTCTGCATTTGACTCTTCTGTGCATCTACGTTCCTCGGGGGGGGGGAAAGTGCCTCTACAAAGATTAGCGCAGCAGAGAGCTCATCTGGGTTGAGGCTGATAGATGCGAACCCAGTGATTCTCAACGGGGGTCCCGCAGCACCCCGGGGTGCCTTGAGATCCTTTCAAGGGTGCCACCCCGTATGAGGTGCATGCAAACATGATTCACAAGATAAGCCCAGAGATTTCGGATGGGAACGCACAGTGATAAAAGCATGCTGACCTGTTGTGGGCTTTCTGAAGTTTTGCTGCCAAAAAAAAAAAATAGTTCTGTTTGGGTTTTTTTGTAGTCGAAAAAAGTGAAAACGAAGAGCTGGTATTTTTTGAGGGGGGACCCTGGAGCCCAAGGAAGGATGCTTTGAGTCTAACAAGGTTGAGACCCATGGCACTAGCTTAACACAAGTAATTGCCAGTGGGCACAGATCCTTAAAGAGGAGGGTGGGCTTTTCTGCTCGAGTGCCACCGGCAGCTGTTTCAGTTGGGTCTCTGCTCTGCGCACCAGCCCCGTGCTAAGCTTGCAAGGTCTGGTGAGCTCATGTCTCGAGGTAGGAATGCTGCTTTGCCGCCAGACCTAAAGCCTTGTTCTCGTTTCGTGGCAATATGTCGTGTGCAACGGCTCTGCAAGGACACGGAGAGCATCAAGTCTGCTTCCCAGCCTGGCCTTGGTGACAGCCCTCTAGGCTCTGATCACACCTGCTTGCAGAAGCGACAGGTCACTTTGACCTTGAGATGCTGTTGTGCTGGTGCTGGGTGCTAGACTGGGTTGGGTAAGATGTCTCGCTATGGCACTAGTGCCATGAGTTTGATCCTTGTGTTGAAAGCTGCTCCTGGTCAGCCTGGCTTTAACTAGTCCCATGGACTGGTAAGTTACAGCTGGCCAGATGTGTTCCTTGTGTGTTGCTGACTGCAGAAATGGGCCTGCCTTCCCCATGCTCACCTAGTTGGCCAACCAATTTTGGATAGACTTTGTATGGCAGGGGGATAGGGAGCCTGACTGTCTTCTCTCCTTTTTTTATTTTTATTTTTTTTATGCCATTTTTCTTTTCTTGGAGGATATGGTGAGAGGGGAACTAGCTTTTGAGGAAGAGAAACAGATGCAGAAGAGAGATGGGAAGGACGGCTGGTGGAACAGCGTTAGGCAAACCTGGGCTAGCCAGTCAGTTTAGGGCCGTGTCTGATGTATACAGCAAACGCTGCTCTGCAGCACTCCCCCTGCTTGATCTATTCAGGCATTAGAGGGCCAAGCTATGATTAGAAACACCATTGACATTTATCGCATGTATTCAAATCCCTCTCCCTGATTGATGAGTGGAGCTGGCTAGAAATCCAAAGCCTTAAAACTGTCTGCACAAAAATGGTGACCTTGATTCTTTCTTTATTTGGTTTTTCCTTTCCCCATTTTTGTGGGGGGGACAGTGAAATTTTTGTTTTGCCCCCTGTGCTTTTTCCCCTCCACCAGCCACTTCCACGTGAGGAAAACGCAGCCGGAAGCAGAGCGTTGCTGCCAGTAAATGCGGTAAGATTGTCAAGAATGCATTTGAAACGGCCACCCTCCACCTTGTGGTTTTTCTATTTCGGGGTCTAAATTCAAGGCAAGACCCTTCTTTTATTTATTTATTTATTTATTTATTTTTTTTAACAAGGCTTTGGGTGTGTTTGTGTGGGGGGCATCAGCCCAGATATCTTTCACATCCTAAGCCCCTGTACTGGGCTGGGGGGTAGCACTGAGCTTTCTCAAACCGCTGTTGCCACCCTTATAGTGAGGATGTTTTCTCAAATAGGAGGTAGATGCTGGCAAAGCTGGTGGCCTCCCTCCTTGCCAGGAGAAGCGTTGTCTCCCAGTGGGATTTATGTAGCCTTTTATCACCCGTAATTATGTATCCTATACCCAGAAAGAGCTGGTGACATAGCTGTGTGAATCGGAACAGATGACGGCTCATGTGATGCGAACTGGAGTGAAACCGGGTGTGTTTGGACTTGGAGGAGAGAGGAAGTCAGCTAACCCTGTCCTGTTGTCCTAATGTAGCCAGACCCCGAGCGAGATGGGAGCTGCCACAAGCAAGGGTTTTGCAAGGACTGGCCCCTTGGGAGGTAACAAGCACAGGCCTCTTCTCTCCAGCTGCCAGGTATGCAGGGCTCTGGGTCTCTGGCCAGTCCCTGAGGTCACGGTGCGCTCATGGCACCCATTTCTTTGGTTTACTAAGGCGCCGTCTGCTCATTAGCTTCACTGGCATCGTGATGTGTAATTGTTTTTCTTCCCTTGACTCACCTATGCCCTGGTAGTATCAGCATCTTGTCCCTGGGCTGGCTGTGCCCGGGCTAAAGGGTTGTGCCGGTGTGGCTCACTTGGCCAAGCCCAGCCAACCTAACCCTTCTGGTGCAGGTAGGGGCTGCGTGCCTGAGTCATCCGAAATAGCATCGCCTCCTCTGGGGACGTGCCCTGTGCTGCCTTTCCTTTCTGGGTCCAGTGGCTTATCCAGCTGGCCTGGGACACAGCCTAGTCCGGCCTCTGTCTCCATTCAGAGCAGCATCCAGAGTGGAAACAGTGCCAAGCCCCTATGGGCGGGTACGGAGCTAGAGTCGAGCGTTGCATTGCTGTCTGCGGGCGAGGGAGTTTCCCCAGGGCTCCGATCGCCCTGTCTGGAGGATAGCACAGGTCTCCTGCATGGGCTGGTCACCCCAGTTCTCTCCGCTGGGGACAGGACGGACCTGCTTATTTCAGTGGGGCACTGATAGAGCGCGAGAGAGTTGCTTATTACTGCTTGTCCCTTTTTTGCTCCCCTCGTTGATCTTGTCTGGTTTCTGCACGTGCTGTTTGGACCCCAAAGCTCTGAGGCTGCAGGCGGGAGGCCTGGCCCCCGTGACTCGGAGGGAAAAATGCTGGAATATAAATAGAGAAGGCAAGTGGCGAAGGGAGAAGACCCAAAGCAGAGGAAGATCAATCACCTCTTGGCGTCTGGCTCCAGCTAGCATTGGCGAGGAGCCCCGCCTGGTTTCAATTACAGCCCAGTCCAGGAGCTCTCAGCCCTGTTTCCCCCCCTTGTCCCACAGGTGCGGGCACTAGAAACCGCTGCTCCTCTGCCAGCTCTGGGCAGGGGGCCCAGGATTTTGCATTCTCCCCACATAAGTATCTTGTCATCTCCTTGCCTGGCGCAGGTGCTCCTAATGCAGCAGCTTTCTTGTGCAGGTGAGGGAGGTTCCTAAACACCCTGGCCTTTCACGTGGACATGTCTGTGCCTACAAAGTCTGAGCTGAGCTGCTGGGACAGCTCAGGGGAGACAGCTGCCATGAGCCACCATCTCTGGAGCCTGCAAGTAGCCAGATTTGCCCACCTGAGACTTGCCCAGGCCCTTAGTGGAGCCGTCCCTACGTTGCTGGGGGAAAGTCACCCCCTGCAAGCGCTGGGCAGGTGGGTAGTACATCGGGACTTCTTTCTGTTTGCTGACAGCCCTTGGTTTGGAAAGCTGCTTCTCTCTCCTGCCTCCCCCTGCTTCCATGTGTCCAATCTGGCAGCTGTGCAGCACCAAGCACATGGGGACACCCCTACTGAGGAGCAGGACCCTGAGCTGCTACTCTGGTGCAGCAGGCTGGGGGTTTGCAGAAGAAGCTTGGAGCCTGTGCCGCCCCTTTCCTTTCCTCTCTGACAGTCAATTGGAGAGGAATTCAGTCGTGTAGCTTGGCCCAGGGCTCTGAATTGCTGGGCCAAGCTAGAGAATGGCGCATTTTTCTTTTTTGACCATTCCCCATTCCAGGTCCCACGAGCCTTTTGCTGGTGCCTGGCCTGGGATTTGAGCATGACATGGAGCAGGTGTGCTCCGGGCTAGCTTGGTGTCCTC